TTTGAAAAGTGGAAACTGATTAGAACTGTCGATAATTTAGAGTAAAAACTACCTATGGCGGCCCTCCATGCACACAAATCATTACCCACTACGGCGGATAATGAATGTGTGCTTGTCTGGCCGCCATAGACAGTGTGCTAATGCCATATATGGGCGATCTGGTAGATAGTTTGAGAGGGTGATAAGTAGGAAAGACGTAGGGAAGAGAGAAGGGAAGTAAGGAAGAAGGAAGGAAGGTAGGATAAAGAACGAAATATAAAAAGCATAAGAGACAAGAGGGATATGACGATAGTAAGAGATGTGACCCGAGAGAGAGGTAAAATGAGAGTAAAACAGAGAGCGTTTGAAAGAACGCAGAGTGAAGAGTCATTGTGAGAAAATGGCTAGAACGTATTCAGGATCGGGGTGACTTAGTGGACAGAAAAGGACAATATGGAATATATATTTACAAAATATTACATTTAGTATACATGAGTCATAACACCTACATGTAGTAAATATGTCACTATTCATAGATTAATTAATTATGAGGAAGTATTTGATTGAATTGACATTAGGAAAAAATGCACGAACTAAATTTACTATAAGCAAATCCTTATTCTATACAATCCATATGATTATTTTTGAGGAAGAATAACTGTAAATCACTCTCCAAGTTACCAAGATATTGATACTCTTAAAGGATACAAATTATATTCGGTATGTATTGGATATAGAACCATGATAAGTTTGAGCAATGACATCCTGTGGAAAACAAAAGTACCGCAGAGCGGAACTATACAAAATAATCAATCTGAATAAGGTAATATAAAATGGTATTAAGAAAGGCCGTGATAAGTTCTAGCAAAAACATCAATGGTTAGTGGAAATTAAACATTTATAAATACAATTGTTACTGTGATAGGATACGTGTTGTGTCATACAACAATAGAAACAAGAGTGCCGCACAGCGGAACAATACGAAATAAATAATCTGATCAAAGTAAAATTGAAAATCATTTAGAAAAAAAAAAAAAAAAAAACATGATTAGATCTAACGAAACATCCCGATTGAGTGATCAGTGGATATCAAACATTAAAGTAATAAATACAATACTGTGATAGCAATGGTAGCAATAACCGCACCGCAGAACAGTGCTAAACAATTAATGTGGTTAAAGTAAAATAAATGCGCTTTAGGAAAAACAAGAAAACAGGTTCATGTCGTGTTTGATAAGCCTATAAATGAAATCGGTTTGAAAAGGAAGAGATCTACATGTATTTAAAATGTTCAAGGGGGATAACTCTTGAAAACACACACTGCACACACACCCTAACTGTAATTTGTACACTTTATAGACTAGCATAAAGCAAATACCCGTGACCCCATAAAAGTAAAATTGACTAGGGAACTACGTAATATGAGAGAACGCAGTAACCCAGTCCTGAAGACCTACCAGGTAATATAGCAGACTTACAGTATAGAACTGACAAAATATCTAATCTGGACGAAATACCGTACAAGGTAACGAGCTGTGAGCACAAGTAATACAATAATAATATATGTGCAATGTTAAAACTCCTACGTTCAATGTTTGGTAAACGAATAATATGAATTGTTTACATGTGTACTTGTAGTCCCAAATACCATGCTAATAAGATGGGTTTAAATATACCAAACAACGAGATGCAATCCTGAGGCACAGGTTGGTCATTATACCTCAACTCAGTATAATTTAGCAGGATCACGTTATACACGTAATCTCTATTAACTGTTATGGACATGCTATATCAATTATGCATGATGTCAAGACCAAGTTAGTGTTTCAAAGTCTTAACGTACATTCGTCATCGATTTCACGAACGAATCGAATACATATATACACTTTTGACAATGACAGTTATTATGTGATCAAAGTTTCAAAATAGTGCATAAGCAATTCAAAAGAAATAACAAGTCACGGGGAACATAAAAAACTTTGAAATAATTATTGTAATCATAACCCCAGTACTGTAAAAATAGCGGGATAGTACCGGATGTACGTATTATATTGTAGTAAGGGTGCCAGGGTATAGCGAGTTACCGGACAACGCCGCAGTAATATAGAATATAAGGTACAGATAGTTTTCGGCAGTATTAGACGTACTAATTAAAATACTGAGGTGACAATTTTGGATTGTAACAGGGGCAGCAACACCTGTAGTAATGATGTAGTTATAACAGTAATAGTACAATTAATATGTGTAAGAGAGGAACGTAGGTAGTACTAAATACCAACAAGTACGCCATAACTTAGACATACATATATGATGATACCCAACTGCATGTTTCATTTACATTATGTAATCACAATTAATCATTTGATCGCGAATATGTAATTAGTCTGAGGAATACAAACTAAGACATACACACGTTTTGCCAGACTGTACTTACGGTGGGAAGTAAACGAATCATAGTACTAATAATTACGTAGTAGGGATTGTTTATCATAAACACAGTATGTTTTACATTGAATGAGTGTAATAGCAACACTCCCTTGGATGAACCGCCCTGGGCTGATCAAGATGTATACATGCATAAATACAAAAACTTTCACAATTGGAAGTTTAGGAAAACTGGAGATTACACATACATATACACTTTTTGAAAATTATGTATAAGCTAGAAAACATTATTTGATTGTGCCTACAACAGATGTACGCTGATGGTTTAACATTTTTATATTTGACGTATATTTTGATCAGAAAAAGTTAAGTATTTAATTCAGTGTATAATACATGTAGAATCATTTCTACTGTATCAATTCAGGTACCAACTTTGAACACTTTCGGAGAATCGACTGAAACACATTTTGCTTCACTTTTTAAATAATTCAAAGAGTAGTATCCGACAATTATGTATGGCTTAAAAATTGACAGAAATTATAGAACTTGTAAAAAACGAAAATACTTATTGTTGAAATTTGCAAATTGTTGTTATATAATCAATTATTTAAAAAAGTGCATAACGGACAATTGACTCAACCACATTTTGCTACACTTTTTAAATACTGCAAAGAGTAGTAACTGACGATTATGCGTGGCTTAAAAATTGACAGAAATTATAGAACTTGTAAAAAACGAAAATACTTATTGTTGAGATTGGCAATTTGGAGTTGGTGTTCCGTGCCAGTGACTGAATTCCATAGCTGAGCAACAAGATCCCATAGCCTCCACAAAGTGGGACAGTCCATAGGTCACTGTGGCCTCGGGATGAACGCATATACAAGAATTCAGCCATAGGAAAGGTACACACTTAGATATAAAACAGCTTTACTCGTGAAAAACAAGTAACAAACATATCGGAGATTTATGGTCATGTCACTTTGTCGGCTAGTTGAATCTACAACTAGGATTAGCACAGATAATTTCTAGATGGTATGGGATTAAAAAAAATAAATGAAAGTCTGCATTGGTTTAGGTAACACTCAATGGTAAACATGATATGGATATACATGTTTGTCAGTCAGTCACTACCAGTAAGTTTTAACGATTACTGATCAGAGTTGGGTACTAACAGGTACCCTAGGCGAGTAGACATAATTGGGAACCACATTCGATATTTCAGACAGATTTTTGATTTGCACTTTTGGGGAGTCTGTGTCTTTCTTCACAAAGATCCTACCGTCACGTGTTCTGAAAGATGCTATTTTCCTTTCATGCCGAAGTTTGTTAAGTTCATTAACAATGGTCTGGCGCTTTTTGGTCAGGGCTTCAACTACGAGAGTTTTATCCGGATTATGGCGGAGATTACCGTTTGCCTCAAAAACACGCTGACGGTCATAATACCTTACGAAACGCACAATTACGTTCACATTCTGATTTTTAATTTGGCCCAAGATCTTAAATTTTCTGACGTCTAATGAAGTAAAATTATGTTATATATTAAGACGATCTTGCCACAACGACAAGGATTAAAGCAAAATTGATGTTCTGTTAGTAAGTTTTGTTTGTTTATAAGTGCTGTTAGTTAATAATTCAAACCAAGCCCCAAGACTAGCTTCTTATCATGGCGCCAACTCACACGTACAGTGTTTTGTACGCTTACGTCATATCGAGAAGGATTCATAAGCTGCCATACAGTAAATGCACTGTAAATCAAGTCAAGCAGTTACAATAAACTTTGAAGATACAAGAAACCCTTTTTTTGCTTACTTATGGCAGAGACGTATCTCTGCTTACGGTTAATATCTTTGTTTTCTAGGAATATTCACAGAAGGCGATAAGAATCACGTCAGCTCGATATTCTTCAACAGCACAGGTCGGGGATGTCCGTGAGCAAATTCCGTAAAACATATTGTTCAAAATTTATCAATAGTTCAACCACACTGTGCTTCTTTTTTTAAATATATAGTAATCGTTTTGTTATTAAAAAATAAACTTATTGTGAATGCTTTTAAAATAGCGATTTAAAAGATCGCGGCATTATTTACGCAGAAAATTGCCGCTAGAGGGATCTAACTGTTTTCGATATTTCAGCCAATGAGAAGGCCAGGATCGGTAAATTTTGTCTGAAAGACCGTCGCAATAGGCTGTACGTGCTGAGTACGTTTAGCCTAAAAATCAGACGCCCCTCTTCAGTGTCCGCATTGTTACTGTTTTTATACGAGTGCTCTCCCTTCTATCACATAGCAAACCATACTCTGCTGCTTAAACATCAGTTAAATTGTGAGAAAGAAATTAACTAGAAATACTCAACAACACATTTTTTTTTTGTACATAAAGAACTCGAGATATTAATTCAAACTGTTGAGAGCTTGACAACTGCAATGTGACACTGAATAAACACAAGAGATAACTGTTTAGTTCAATCATATCATTGTGTAATTGGTGACATTCCATTTTGATAACGGGTTTAACTTGTCATAATGTGTACAGATAGGTAATAGATACACATATATAAACATCACCCCTTCTTACTCATCTCAGTTTGAACCGATCATATGATAACATGTTGTGATTACGAGTCACATGACAACAACATGGAGTCGGAAACAGGAGTGTCACGATGGATAGTTGTGGCCTGTTTTCTGCTTGGTGAGTCTCTTCTCGTTCTGGTATCGGATAGATTGATTCCTCGAATTAAGTCACATACTGATTCAATTGACAGACCACATTTAAATTATCCCCCGTTAAAGTTTATCCGCGGTGAGTATACATGCGATTAGTACAGTATATATACAGTCTTCTCTCCACTTCGTGCCCGAAAAGAAAACTCAAACCCGCAAATACTCATTTGCCGTACTAGCCCGTCACGAATTAGTGCAGTAGGCGTTTAATAATACATGGTGTAGAAAATACATTGTACGTACGAATCTCACTCCGACAGACGTGACGCAAACGTCCCTAACGCACACACTCCTCACCCACGAGAGCGTCCTAGACACTCCATACTCACCTCCCATCACAGAATGTATCGCGCGCCCAGGAAAAACCGGAGATAATCCCCGGAAACCTGTGTCCAACGGGGCTGGAATCGATTACCTCCAATTGCAATACGTTCTCCGGGCCGACACAAGGACCGGTGTCGAAAAAAAAAAAAAAATAATAAAAACAATCGTTCTACCGGAGCGCCACTAACACAATATCAGCCAATCACACTCCCACTAAGCATACCCAGACTTCCAGATTTCCTCGCCAGGAATGCAAGCATAAAATAGCAAGACTAGAAAACGGAGCAAACCAACTACATATAATAATACTGATAGGCACACTAACTAACTAAATTAACTGGACTGCACTGCTAGACGGAGAGCTAGAGAATGACTATTCACCCGCGCACCCACCCTTACCTGGGCATACGCACGTGCTCTACGTGCCTGAGAAGACGAACTATTCCCGCTATACTACCGAAACGCGGGAATATTTAAGTCTTCTCTCCACTTCGTGCCCGAAAAGAAAACTCAAACCCGCAAATACTCATTTGCCGTACTAGCCCGTCACGAATTAGAGAATTAACAAAGAAAGGGCAAGGGGGTTGTGGTTGGGGAATACCTAACCGCCTTTGAATAATTGATCAAATAACCATATTAATTACAAACCTAACTTCTGTGTTACCAGTAAACGAGACTCCAAAGAGTCAGCGACATAACCATCCTTGCTAGATTCGCCTTTCCAGCGGCCATGCCTCCTGAAACATCGATCGTTCACTCCGTTGTTGGCGGCCACTGTGGCGCCCCCTGCTCTGAGCGAGTGTAAACCAAAATTTGTATCATTGGAAACTAGTTTCAACCTTTTCATGACAGCTTGCCTAGCCCCTGTGTAACTAAGTGGCTTATTTTTGTTAATAAGCTTACAACCCTGACCGGAACGATAAACTTGCTTAAACAAAAAATGATCCGAACTTAAGTCAATTTTTGATAACTCAACATACCTTGATAACATGGTGTACGGACAAGCTACAGTCGAACCTTTACTGATGACCACTTGACTACCAAAGCGATATTTGTCTGTTTTACTTTTCCTGATATTGAGCGTTAAATGCCCCTCGAAAAACTGAACATCAGAGCAACGCAAACTACTGAGCTCGTTAAAACGTAAAAAACCGGAAAACCCTAACAAAATCATGGCAAGATCTCTCACTACCAACAAGTCATTCTCATTCAAAAACATTCCACACAAATTGATCAAAATGTCAGTCGTGACCGGTTCCTTTTTGCAAACAGGATTTTTAGCCTCTCGTTTGGAAAATTCAATTAAGTTCTGTACGAATGAGTTTGTTGTAGGGTCGATGTGTCCGTTAAGATTGTGCACCCATTTGATAGCATATACTGCAGACGACACCACTGCGTAAGTCCCTCCCTTTTCCAATAAAGAATTTAAATATAATGCCACGTGTATGGGATTTGCCGGGATAGACGAAAAACCATGCCCGGAAATGAAATGTTCCCATTTCGCGAAAGCTCCATAGTACTTGGTGCCTGTGTTGACACTCCTGCTTAGTAAAAGTCTGCCAGCCATACCCTCGGTCAGAGCGTGCAGATCGGAACCCTCCGTTACCCCAGAAGCTTTGACGGCATCGCTGATCGACTTCCTCAGTCCTATGCCTGTAACAATAAACACAGTAAAACAATGCTCAGTATGGTATGAACATGTGTAAGTTTTCAATGTCTAAAGTCTAACCGGAGGGCCAACATGTCGAAACCCAAAATACTGGCTCCGAAACATCCATTGTTCCCCCTCCCCCTCAGTGTGACTTTTCTACTGGGCAGTATACGATAATCTACTATGAAAGAATCGAAAGCCCCATCCTTAGGACACAATAAGTGCCAGTATGCCGCGCTCCTCCAATGGGGGACAATTATGGTCCCATAAGCTCCTTCGTCCCTCATTTTGCTAACCACACCGCAAACGAGTCTAGGGGGAGGTACTAACCAGTTGTTGACTCCCTGCCATCTTACCGTGAAGGCATCGACTGCCTCTGTACCCGGGCACCACCACTTGGAATTAAAACGCACACATTTGCTGTTATAATCTGTCGCGAACCGGTCGATTTGATGTGGACCCCATAATAACTGACACTCCTCAAAAACCCATGACTGCACCGACCAATCGTCACAGTCTTTACATCTACTCAAGTAATCGGCGGTACTGTTACTAATCCTTGGTAGCCACTGTGTACTAACGCCCGTGTTATTATAATCCAACACCTCGTTAATCTCACGTGCGACCCTCTGTAGGTCTGGCTTCCTGCTACCAGTTTTCACTATGGAACAAACGTTTCTGTTATCTGTTAACAGTTTTACCTGCTTACCTTTGACCATATCGACCTTAGCCAACAACACCCTTTTGACTGCTTCTAACTCTCTCCAAGTTGAGCTATACCTTTTCTCCCGTTCATCCCATGTTCCCAACGCGACATGTTTATCCATGTGGTAAAGATCCCTTACTGTAGGAAGAGAGCGATCCAAAACGCTTACCTCGCTGCCCTGCAGACCAATCACGTCACTCACTGGGCCACCTACTAGTCCTCCCGTGGGACTAATACTGCTACCGTAGCAAAACCCGGGTCTCGGAGACCCCCTAACACCCTGGGTGCTGTTGCATTGACCAAGAAACTCGAACGTTTGACCCCATTTTGTTCCATCATGATCATGGCCTAAATATATCCGGGGTCGGACCTCACAAGCCCCCTGGGGGTGTTGAAAAACATCTGTACCATGTACCGTTACAAAGTCCCCCTGGGGGATTACACCTTGGTAACATTTGCTTGCACCTGTCTCGATACTGTTTGTATCGTGTATGTATGTGCACCCGTTGACACCTTGCGTCACTCCAACATGCTCACACCTGCCTGATGTGTCCACATATTGAACATAACCCCCGTATCCCTCACCGGATGCATCAGTACAAAGTATGGCGTCACAGACTAGGTGTTGCTTTAACTGTGAACCCTTATCGTTCAGTGCCTTTACGTTAGACAACCAAAATTGGATCTCGTCTAGAGCTCCCGACGTGAGCAAAACACGCGCATTCCAACTGGCTCTAGCCAATACACACCTGTACAACTCCCGTGTACGTAGTCTAGCCACGTGACCGACAACACCTTGCATTGATATGACCTGACCTACTATGCCCGCTATGTACCTGGCCGAGAGCAAAGGCAGGTCTTTCTGTTTGACATGTGTCCTCGTATTGGTCAGCCAATACAAAAGCCGCTCGACACGACCCGACGTAACCCTGACCACGCCTTCTCCCATCGACCACGTGTAACCTAACCACGTGACATGCTGGGAAGCTACCCAATTGGACTTCTCCTCGGCTATGAGAAAACCGTAATCGATCAATGCCTGTCTGACATACCTACTGGACTCGTTAGCCCCGCCCTCTGTCTCGTGACCTCCAATACCGTCGTCCAAATACATGACCAATTTGTGACCTAATAAACGGATAGATTTGACCACCTCCCTTAGAACCTTGGTAAACACGTAACCAGCAGTAGAGATACCAAACGGTAACACATTGAAAACAAACTGGCGTGTTTTGCCTTCCACTTCAAACTCAAAACCGAGAAATTGCCTGTGCTCTTCAAAAATTTCGATATGGTGGTAAGCAGACTTCAAATCAAAAGTGAACAAAAAATCTCCTGGCTGGAAAACATCCCGTGCTACCCTTGCATCGTCGTATTTAAACTTGAATTTATGCAAAAAAGGGTTTATGTGCCTGCAATCCAAAACTAGGCGGGGCTTACCTGATTGATTGAAAGCTACAGTGAGCGGATTTATGACCGCGGGCTCTGACGAAACTTCCGACACACAACCTAACCGTAAAAGCTTAGTTATCTCCCCCACGACAAAATCGGGGTTATCTTTTGCGGTTTTGTTATTTGACAAAGACACCCTTGGTGGAATTTCGTGAAAAGGAATTTTATAACCTCTCTCGATGATAGATTGTACTACTTCAATGGTACCTTGGTCTGCCCAATACTGGCTCTTACCCTTCAAGCGCCCCACTGGCGAAGTATCACATGTGACACGTGGAGCGTCCTGTGTCGCCCCTACCTTACCTGCGTCCTGCTTCGCCGATACTTTTTCATGCATATCAAATAAAGAACCACTTATCTTATATCCGGATACAGCCGAGGCGACTCCTTTGATTTCCGGACACTCTTGTCGCCAATGTCCGGCCTTTCCACACCCAAAGCATGTACCGGGCTTGGTCCCGCCCCGTGGGAAAGGACCTGTTCTGTCGGTCGTAGTAGCGGCGTTTGTCTGGCTCCTGGACACAAAAGTCTCTCTTTGATAAGGGTTGAAACGCTGTCTTCCCCTGCTGGACTTTAACTTTTCCGCCTTTGCCTTTTTAACTGCCTTGGAGCTGGCTCTGTCGATTTTCCTTTCATCGTCGGAGTCCGACGCTATAGGATTTGCTACATACTCATCGACGGTTTTCCAGCCTGCTTCAGAACTGTCCGCCAACTTAATTAGCTTGTTGCGATAGTCTATAAGCGACATACCCTCCTGTATCTTAAGCCTGGCGGTGTCCATGTCCGTACTGACGGCCTGCGCGGCGCCCAATAATTTCCCGCGCACTTTGGTATTGAACTTGTACTGTTCCTCGCAACTTCTCTTTTTGAATTTGTAGGTATCCGTACACTGAATTGTTTCTTGTATCTTGTTTAAAGATGCCTCAGAATTTTCACACATTTTTCTCTCAAACGAGCTCAACTTTTGTGAAATTAATGTATCCAAATGCCCGAGTATTTCGTTTTGTGACTTTCCAACCGCAGCCTGTATCTGGTCCGACAGTGTGCATAATGAATCGTTCTGCATGGTAGAAACTATGATACTATATATATGATAGAGACATTAACTGGACTGCACTGCTAGACGGAGAGCTAGAGAATGACTATTCACCCGCGCACCCACCCTTACCTGGGCATACGCACGTGCTCTACGTGCCTGAGAAGACGAACTATTCCCGCTATACTACCGAAACGCGGGAATATTTAATGTACACTATGTGTACCGGAGACAACGCCGGATAGCCATACAGTTAAATTGTCTATGTATACTGACCATCACACTAGCCGACGGGTAACACGGCACTGCACAACCACAACAGGTAAATGTGGCGTATTGAATATGCAACTGTGTTCTTACAGTGCCTTCCGTTTACTGTGTGGTGTTACTAAAACGAGGAACGAAAAACCGGACGAGATGAAAGAAATAATCTGAAATTAGCGTTAAATGTTGTTTACAACAAATCATTTGATGTGACTATCTATATCCGCTCGAACAAATATGAATAAGTATTTCCATAAAAAACAAAAATCCGTACACACACCACCCTCACACACACACGCACACACCTACATATACACACACATTTATATATATATGATCAATGAAGTAATAGCAACAGTACGGACGAGCGAATTGTAAAATTTTCGAGGCAACCTGACCCTTTATCACGACAAATATTACATAAATTACATCACATGCAAAGAACAGAAAACAAATACAGAGTTATAAGTGAAATCGAGAACGGTAGTGTAAATTTAGGTGTCTCGTTAATCCCCTCGACCGATGGACACCGAAGGCCCTTTATACGGAACAAAAAACATCTTAACTTGTGGTATGAAAGATGGTAATTAAAAAATGAGCTTGTATGTGAGTGCAGAGAAAAAACATTGTGTCATATTCCGAGGAAATGAGTTGATCGGTACATCTCGGTCCCTCTCTTAAAAAGGAATATTTTAATTAAAAAATTTTAAAAAATCGTTGTGAAAAAGTAAATGAATGTATACTTACAATTAAAAGTATTTTATAATAGAGATCAACAATGAAATGCAAAAACAAGTTTTCAAAATATTATTTTGAATATGGTCGAATAGGCCCCAGACTCATCAACTCGCCTACAAAAATTCTCCCCAGAAAAACTAGATTTTCTGCTTACGAACTAGAGTCAATAATCGGCGCCAATTTTAAATTTGAACGAAAGCAGACACTTAGGAACTAAACGAGAAGTGCAATACATTTGGAAAGGAAGTTGCAGCAGGTTTGGTTGATTCAGTGTCCCTCCTTACGGAGGCGTTGCTGGTCACCCCAACTCCTGCAGTGGCCAATGGGTACCACGAATGTCTTGGCATGGTGAAATGTCTTGCTACAGGCAGATACGGTCGTTTCTGTTTGATAGCACATCGGTGGTGTGTGTGTGTGTGTGTGTGTGTGTGTGTGTGTGTGTGTGGTGTGGGTGTGTGTGTGTGTGTGTGTGTGTGTGTGTGTGTGTGTGTGTGTGTGTGTGTGTGTGTGTGTTTGTGTGTGTGTGTGTATGTGTGTGTGTGTGTGTGTGTGTGTGTGTGCGCGCGCGCACGCGCGTGTACGTGTGTATGTGTTAAAACTTTGTTGAATTCTCAGTGTCCAGTTATATAGAAAAAAAAGATCATAAACTACGAAACACGATGAGTGTTTTATTTTTATCTTCATATGTATCACTTTACACGTAGATACAATTGTAACGTCATCAGTATTGATACATACAGTCCATTAATCAAGTTGTATACATTGCTATTTCCAAGCAAATACATCGGTTGCTATTTGTCCACACTAAATAATTACATAAAATTGAAGACATAGATTTTTTTAACAACTTTTAATTTTGATGGATCAAAGGTCGGATTTACCCAGTTTTTAAATAAAAAGATTATAGGGTATGATGTATGTCTGTTTTGTTTCAGATAGATGTTGTGCTTAATTACTTATTTAAAAAGTAGTTACGGATCTGACTTACATATAAGATATATAATTATTATATTTACTATATGCCAAATAATGGAGACTTGTCTGATGAACATTTGTAGGTATGGCTTAGTCAGAATGTATGTAGGAATAAGGACCAAAATCGTGTTTGCGTTTCATGCTTGAACTTCAGTTTATCTATTTGCTTTGTAAGTTTTCCATGTTCCATACATGCCTCCACTTTGTCTCTTTATCTTATGTGTCATATTCTATCCTTACTTTCAGTGAGTCTCCAAGTTTGTTCTGCTGTCAACAGTACGAGACTGTTAGTACTTGGGGACTGGGGGGGAATCGACATACTGCCATACAGGACATTGGTAGAGGTCAGCGTGGCTAAACAGATGGGTATTCTGGCAGATCGGTACGCACCACAGAATATTCTTGCCTTAGGAGACAATTTCTACTTTGATGGGGTGAAGGATGTCACAGACAAACGTTTCAAAGTAAGTGCTTGCAATTTTTAACCTGTAACTTTCATCTGCAAAAATACAGTCATTAATAGACGAACTTTGCCTTTCGTTTTCATGAACTTTTTCAATGTAGGTAACCATACCATTTGATTTTACCGACTGTTCAGTTATTTCTTACGTATATTAAACCTTCAATGTAGAATTCACTACGATTTAAAGTATATATATAACCTTCAGTTTGGATGTCATGAATATTCAAAATGTATGTGACATCCAATTTGCCTGACATGAATATGCAAAGTGTGTACATATATAACACATTCTATTTAACTATGTGATTAACTGACATAACCATTCATAGTGTATATAACCTTCTATTAACTGACATAACCATTCATAGTGTATATAACCTTCTATTAACTGACATAACCATTCATAGTGTATATAACCTTCTATTAACTGACATAACCATTCATAGTGTATATAACCTTCTATTTAATGTCTTAATCATCCATAGTGTATAACCTTCTATTAACTGACATAACCATTCATAGTGTATATAACCTTCTATTAACTGACATAACCATTCATAGCGTATATAACCTTCTATCAACTGACATAATCATTCATAGTGTATATAACCTTCTATTAATTGACATACCCATTCATAGTGTATATAACCTTCTATTAACTGACATAACCATTCATAGCGTATATAACCTTCTATTAACTGACATAACCATTCATAGTGTATATAACCTTCTATCAACTGACATAACCATTCATAGCGTATATAACCTTCTATTAACTGACATAACCATTCATAGCCTATATAACCTTCTATTAACTGACATAACCATTCATAGTGTATATAACCTTCTATTAACTGATATAACCATTCATAGTGTATATAACCTTCTATTAACTGACATAACCATTCATAGTGTATATAACCTTCTATTAACTGACATAACCATTCATAGCGTATATAACCTTCTATTAACTGACATAACCATTCATAGTGTATATAACCTTCTATTAACTGACATAACCATTCATAGTGTATATAACCTTCTATTAACTGACATAACCATTCATAGTGTATATAACCTTCTATTAACTGACATAACCATTCATAGCGTATATAACCTTCTATTTAATGTCTTAATCATTCATAGTGTATAACCTTCTATTTAACTGACATAACCATTCATAACGTATATAACCTTCTATTAACTGACATTACCATTCATAGCGTATATAACCTTCTATTAACTGACATAACCATTCATAGCGTGTATAACCTTCTATTTAATGTCTTAATCATTCATAGTGTATAACCTTCTATTAACTGTCATAACTATTCATAGTGTATATAACCTTCTATTTAACTGACATGAACATTCAATATACCTATTCCTATAAGTTGATGAAATGTTATTAAAGTTTAATTTTGTAATATGTTGATTTTGGATGAATTCCGAAGCCTGTACGATTCTACATTAACACAAATACTATATCAATCGAATTGAATTCCATCATTTCACGATACCAGTATGTTTTGTTCATGCCTTCATATATTGTTTGGAATACATTTACCGATTTATTTATATTCAAGCTGTTTTTATGTTTGATATAGAAAGATAATTTATATATTGAAGATATTCAATCATATTGACAGATCCGAAACGTGATACGTGTACATGAATTATTTATCTTTAAAGGAAACATACGAGGACGTTTTCACCAGGCAGTCGTTGATGGTACCGTGGCATGTGATTGCAGGAAATCATGATCATAAGGGAAATGTTTCTGCTCAAATCGCATATTCTAAGATTGACGACCGATGGTAAGATTATTATTTCATGTTTGAACTAACCCTTTTGTCTTCATATCTCCATTAGAGCTTCCGTGTATAGTATGTAGGGACGGCAAACAGAACCAATGGGTTTGGTGATCATCACGTGTAACACTGTAGTACGTAAGGAAAACTATTCACAGATTCATCGATATAATATTATATAGTAAAAAATACCCGTCACAACCTACAACATCAATTCACGGATCTCGTTCCTTCAGTTCAGATCCCGATTACCCTGTGTACCCAAGCATGTGACAATGTCGGACCTTCCTACCGCTTAGATATACTTCGGTTATGTTTGTGGTTACGTACCAATGTGTACCTAAAGATTCACACAACATGCCAGTGCTGTTACTATTGCCTGGAAATATATTGAGTCAAGACCGCTAAGCGTCCATTAAAGTACTATATTGTCCTTACGTCCGTCTTCTATCAGATGTAGCTGGTAGTACTGTACCGATCGCATTCGAACTGGCGACCGAAGGTTACAACTCACCCTCAGGATCGATTTATACGGGAACTGTAAATGGGACAAATGATAACAGGGTCAAGGTCACTGTTCCTAGTTTTGGAAATACTTGTCAGCGCTCCAGCGATTTAATATCTTTAGGAATTTAAATTCACATAGTGGACAATATCACGATGAAGCTGGAGTTCCAAGCTTGTGGTGTCTGTTTCTAAAAAATCCTAGTCAGCACTCTAGTGTCTTTATATCTGGAGGGTGCGGATGTCCCCCTCTTGATTCACCTGTTATTTCATTCATACAAACATTGTTACAAGTTTTGGTTTGTTTATCACTTGTGTTTGTGCTTGTTTGCATTATAATGATTGATGATTCAGTAAGCTTTTTAAAGAAAACATTCTTTAAAAAATCAGTATTGTTTGGATACCTTTATCTATTGTTGAAAAAGTTTTTTAAAAAGGTCATGTCTGTCGCCTTCGTCACTTTTATGTATTTTTGAGAGCGTTTAAAATCACCACAGACAAGTTATGACGAAAATTCCAACAGTGGCTGTAGCATATCAGCATATAAACAGATGAAGTACATAGCTGTAAATGACAAGAGGTAAAATGTCGTGTCGAGACAATTATGCATGTTCCTTTCTTTACACATCAAATTCGCTGATTCGCTTGTCAACGGCAAGTTTGACAATGACACACTTTAAGCATTAAAATGTTTAGAGAAAAAAGTTCACTAGCATTAAGTGGCCAGGTATTGGAAATTTAAAAGTTCAAACTGTGATAAAAATAAAATGGGTTTAGTGACACCACACGACGACCTTCAGTCAGTCAGTCGGTGTTGGATATACGGTGATTCACGTTAGCATTCCCCCAGAGATAACTATTGTCTACCTTACAAGGTCATTTCAGTAATCTGACATATTTCCCTATTACAAGGTCATTTCAGTAATCTGACATATTTCTCTATAACAAGGTCATTTCAGTGATTTGACATATTTTTACCTATTACAAGGTCATTTCAGTAATCTGACATATTTCTCTATAACAAGGTCATTTCAGTGATTTGACATTTTTACCTATTACAAGGTCATTTCAGTAATCTGACATATTTTCCTATAACAAGGTCATTTCAGTGATTTGACATATTTTTACCTATTACAAGGTCATTTCAGTAATCTGACATATTTCTCTATAACAAGGTCATTTCAGTGATTTGACATATTTTTACCTATTACAAGGTCATTTCAGTAATATGACATATTTCCCTATTACAAGGTCATTTCAGTAATCTGATAAATTTTTGTTGTTTTTTCAGGAACTTCCCTTATTTCTACTACAAATTATCACTAACAGTTCCAGGGGGCGCCAACTTGGACATCATTATGATAGACACAATATTACTTTGTGGGAACACAGGCATGGACCAAGACGGGGCCCAGCCCAAGGGACCGACAGATTTTAAAGCTGCAGATGACCAATGGACCTGGATCAGTAGCATGCTGCAGTCGAGCAAGTAAGATGAAGACCAGACGAGGCATCTCTAACAAAAACTAGCCAACAAGATTATAGACATGTGACAAGACGAGGCATCTCTAACAAAAACTAGCAACAAGATTATAGACATGTGACAAGACGAGGCATCTCTAACAAAAACCAGCAACAAGATTATAGACATGTGACAAGACGAGGCATCTCTAACAAAAACTAGCAACAAGATTATAGACATGTGACAAGACGAGGCATCTCTAACAAAAACTAGCCAACAAGATTATAGACATGTGACAAGACGAGGCATCTCTAACAAAAACTAGCCAACAAGATTATAGACATGTGACAAGACGAGGCATCTCTAACAAAACCTAGCCCAACAAGATAACAGGAGAGTAAGGGTCAGGTTGTTGATATTTCACAGGATCACAGGAGAGTAAGGGTCAGGTTGTAGATATTTCACAGGATCACAGGAGAGTAAGGGTCAGGATGTAGATCTGTCCGATTTCCGACTAAAGAGGTATCGATTCCGTTTTAAATATCATAGCTTGCCCAGGATAACATGCGATTCGTAACATACATGTTTAAATTAAATGATTTTAGTCAATGCGTAATCACTTTGTCATAAGGTGAATATCTTAAGACTGTCTTTGAAACATTGAAGTTTGCAGTCGTTGAATTGAGTAGCTGAGGAAGGATATCTGATTTAGGTCATTGAAAGAGAGCGGCTCTTTGTATAGACTAATGTTTTAGGTTTTTGTAAGTTTAGATTTTTTGGTGAAGTTAATAGCAAGAGCATCCATCCGTTTTCTTCCGCTTTATGTGTCAATTTATAAACATTTGTACATTGTAGATGTCATGATTTGTCAATAAATTCTGCACAATAACAAAACCCACTGAAATCGGATTCCTAACCCTGTCTGATGATCTATATAGATCTCAATATTTCTGCTTCGATAAAATATATATCATACATATATATCTAAATAACTAAAAAAAACTAGTTTTATCAACACTGTCTCAGTATATATGCTGAAAGTTAAATTCATTTCAAAATTAAACAAATGTCATGCAACCCAGTTTCTGTGACTTATTGGATGCAGCTCTTACCGGTATATTAGTTAAATATGTTTGTGTTTTAAATAACTTTTGTATTTCAGAGCTGAATTCTTGCTTGTGGCAGGTCACTTTCCTGTGTATTCCATCGCAGAACATGGCCCGACAGATTGCTTGGTTAAGCAACTTTTACCATTATTACAGAAATATCAAGTCACTGCCTACCTCAGTGGTCACGATCACAACTTACAGGTAAATATCTTACACGCATCTGTAGTTACCCACGACAAACACTCATATGTACAACTAATTATTTACCTAAATCAGTCGTCACGACAATAAACAGGTAAATATACAGCATATATCTTATCTAAATCGGTCCCCACGATCACAACATACAGGTAAATATACAGCATATATCTGATCTAAATCGGTCCCCACGTGCACAACATACAGGTAAATATCAACAAATATCTTACATCTGCAGTCACGACACTATCACAACATATAGGTAAATATATGACATATATCTTATCTAAATCGGTCCCCACGAGCACAGCATACAGGTAAATATACGTACATGTATATAAAAAACATATTTATTAACTGAATCGATTACTTGGAATACATTCTTGTTAAGGAAGGGGGCCATTTGATTTTGTTCACAAAACCACGGACACAGAATTTTTTGTATTGAAATCTACACTTTATATAATGAAAATTTCTAAACGAAAAAAAAAGAAGAAATATCAATCCTGTCAGAGCCAACATCAACTCGAGTACAATAGAAGCGATACCGGCTATCGTGACATCCAACAGATTTGAGGTCCTGTGTTCAGAAAACCAGGAAGATATCACAAAAGGTGTAGCAGCCAAGACTGCATCAGGCCCGGGCACTTCTCAGGATTCCAATCAGTCCATTAAGGTGGCTGGTAGGCAACGCACGTCTGTCAACGGTTCTACGCAATCTCTTCACAATAGGCGAAACAACAATGTATTAAGGCGTCACGAGCTTGATGCAGAGTCGCAACAGTCTATCAGGGTCCACTTTCCTTCTTCAGTTTGCAATCCAGTGGCAAATCGATTTGTAGGATTCAGTCAAAAGCCAAGAAGGAGAATCAAACGTTTCTATGTACATGGTATTAACCGCCACATATCTTCTGAAAACGTTATGCGAAGTTATCTCGAAGAGGCAAACGTACGTGTAACATGGATTAGATACTTTGAGAAACGTTGGAAAAATACCGCTTCGGCACAACTCAATATCGTGGCGGAAGATGAGGAGATTATCAGTAACAAGTCCTTCTGGCCTGAAGGAATTTACATGAGGGAGTGGCAGCTGCGTGAAATTTTTTTGAGTGAACACAGGCATGGCTGACTTTGTGAACGCACTGTGTTGGAACATTGAGGGTATCATGGCAGGAACACCTTACCTAGTGAACTGTCTCAAGAAATTCAACATTAATATTTGTGGTATATCTGAACACTTGTTACGTGAATTTAATATGTCTTTTTTCAACACATTTAAATCCATAGGGTATAGTGTTATAGCTAAACCCGTTTTTGAAAGAGATCCGTTCAAATACAAATGTAACATTAGAGGAGGTGTTGCTCTGTTGTACAAAGGACCATTTTTCAGAGTACAAGAAATAGAGGTAGATAGTCCAAGAATAGTTGGGGCAGAGATTACTCTTTCCGACGATTTGATTTTGTATTGTTTTGTTGTATATATGCCTGCCGCGTCTAGAACAATTGAAATGTTTACAGAACATGTTGAACTTCTGGAATGCCTATACTCAGTTTATTCTGAGAAGGGGCAGGTTATGTTTATGGGCGATATGAATGTCAAGATTAAAGGTCCTCGGTGTAGCTTTGTTGAAAATGATAGGTCTAAGATTTTTCAGGAGTTTTTAAGCCGGTGTAATTTGATATCCATCAATGTACAAAATACGTGTAGAGGTCCATCCCAAACGGGTAAATCAACACTTATTGACCATATTATCATTGAAGCAAGCTCCCTTGATTTAGTACAGAGTGCGTCAATTTTAGATGAAAGTGAACTTAATTTGTCGGAACATGTTCCTGTAATCAGTTCAATTCGAATACCAGTAGATGCTTCCTTAAATAATCATGTAAACCAAACACGGTTTAGTTGGAAAAGAGCTGTAGCTGAGAACTATAAAGTAGCTTTAAGTCGGAATTTAGCTCGTATTAAGATTGTAGGAGCTGAGAATATTGAGTATAAGAATGTGAGTCTAAGTGAGAATGTGATCGAGAAATATTATTGTGATATTGTGATTGCTATATATAATTCGTCCATAGAATCTGTACCTGTGTCGAAATACAAACCCTACTTAAAACCATACTGGAATGATCAGTTATCACAAGTTTCATAGTAATATGAAAAGTAGCAGACAAAAATGGATTGCTGAAGGGAGACCTAGAGATTGTTCGAACAGTTTTAAAGAATATAAATGGATGAAGAAAGAATTCAGGAGAAACCTTAGACAAGCTTTCGATAAATACATGTCTGATCAATTAAAAGAAATTGAGCGAGCAAATGACATAGATCAGAAACTTTTTTGGCATTTAATCAGAAATAAAACGACAAAACAAAGACTTTGCCAAACTGAATTTAGATGTGACAGAAAAACTTTCAGAGACCCGGAAATTATTGTAGATAAATGGGCTTCTCATTTTGAGAGAATTTTTAAAGATGATTCTAATAGTATATTTGATGAAAACTTTAGGATCCATATATCAAGTAAAGTGAAAGAAATAGAAAGAAAAGATTTGAAAGATGAGAGATTCTTAAAAGATCCAATCACGCAAGCTGAAATCGAAATAATCTGCAGGAATCTAAAATCAAATAAGGCAGGAGGTATGGACGATCTAGTATATGAGCACTTGAAATTGGGAAACTCAGACCTTTTTGCTCATTTATCAAAGTTATTCAATGCAGTAGTTGAGAGTCAATATATACCATATGGATGGAAGAAGGGGACTATTATCACATTGTACAAAGGTCATCCTAAACCTAAGGATGATCCTAATAGTTATAGGGGGTTAACTCTTCCACCAGTCATCTTTAAAGTGTTCGAAATGATTTTAGCGAATAGATTGGAACCAGTTCTTTCTTCTGTTTCTTTTCCAAATAAGTAACAATCAGCTTACCAAAAAGGGCTCTGTAGTTTGTTAACCTCATTTAACCTGCAGGAATGTATACATTATAATGTAGAAAGGGGAGAAAACGTTTTTGTAGCCTTTTTAGACAGTAACAAAGCTTTTGACACTGTCTGGCATGACGGTTTACTTTATAAGTTACATCAATTGGGAATAACTGATAAGTCATGGCACATTTTGAAAGCAATATATACAGACATAAGAAGTAGTGTCTTATTCAATGGTTTAAGATCAAGATGGATAAAGATGGAAAGGGGGATCTTACAGGGGAGCGCATTATCTGCAAAAATGTATCTCGTCTTCATTAATGATTTACTAGATTGTGTTGAAAAATGTGGAATGGGTGCTATTATTGCCGATTTAAGAATTAATATACCAACACAGGCAGATGATATTTGTCTAGTCAGTACACAACATAAAAGTATACAACACATGTTAAGCGAGTGTGAAGATTATAGTAAAAAGTGGCGCTTTGTGTTTTCTGCAGTTAAAAGTAATATTATGTGTTTTTCTAGAAGAAAGCAGAAAGGGTCAAGTATACAACTGTATCTGTATGAGCATCCTCTTCCAGTAGTAGAAAATATAACGCATGTTGGTGTCATGTTAAACAATAATTTCAACAGTACAGAACGTACAATACGTGCATGCAACAGATTAAAGAGTGGTGTGATGAGCCTCATTAAATGTGGTGCTCATCCTTGTGCATTAAACCCCATAACAGTAAGTAAAATAATTAAAACAAGAATTTATCCAACAGCCCTATATGGCTGTGAATTATGGTGTCTTGCAAAAGCAGAAGTTTAAATGTTGGAAAGAACTCAACGTTTTATTCTCAAATCGATTCAGGGGTTCCATATGAGGACTCGAACGGATATGTGTAGCAGCTTGCTTGGTTGGCTTACCTTAGAATCATATATAGATATTAGGAAGCTAACATTTTTTGGAAGATTGTGTAATTTAGGGAAAGAGAGTGTGTCTTGTACTGTATGTTTTACTCGCCTTTTTATGGCGGATGTAAGCACTAATATGCATGAAAGTAAATTGAATGATCGCGGATACATGAATGATGTTGTTCGAGTTTTGAGAAAATATGATCTGTATGAAATGGTAAAAGAATGTTTAGCACGCGGATCATTCCCTTCAAAAAGTAAATGGAAGAACAAAGTAAAATGTACAGTTCATTCATACGAAGAAAACTCGTGGAAAGAAAGAATGGATGATGACCGCGAGTTCTATAGATTTAAATTAATTCATAATAAACTAGCTCCACACATATTGTGGAAGCTATTAATTAAGTTTCCTCAGAATAAGGAATCCATAGGTAGTATTATGAAACTTATTGTGGCCATCAGAAATGTAAACACAGTTGAATTATGTCACAGATGTGGCCAAACGTATGAAGATGTGTATACTCATATAGTCTTACAGTGCAATTTTACTGAAGAAATCCGAGATCAATTATGGTGTCAAATGATCAATATCAGTGATCATGAGTTTAGCATATATTTGCATAATCACTCAGATTTTGACCTATTCCATATCTTGATTGGTGGAGAAGTAATGTATGAATTGAATTTAAAAGAAATATCACAGTTTTACCTTAATTCAGTCCATTATGTTTCAAAAATGCTTAAAGCATATTATGGCTAAAATGTATATGATACAAATTACATCTAAAGAATTATCATTAAGTACAATGTATATATATATATATATATATATATATATATATGAGTAATGTAATTATGATACATCTTATATGTTACTTTGGTATTTTGTAACTATTTAATCATTATTATACTTATGTTATAATAATTACTATTGCAAAAATGATGTACTTCAATGTTCCGATGTGATTTTGGAACGACTTAATTACTATAATTATCCTAATGTTATAATATCTTGGTAATAATTTTGATTTGCATGCCAATTCAACGTTCTCTTTCACTAAATTAATGTTGTTCTTTTTATGAAATCTTCTTAAAGGAGGAAATAAAGAGAATAATAATTCATCATCGAAACAATGTGAAGTAGACAGCACGCGAAATAATAACAGTTTCTTTACCTTTTCAGCACCTGGAATCGGTTACTTCTGAACCTCCCATCAACATGTTTGTGATTGGTGCTGCAAACTTTGTTGATACGAGTACCAAACACAGCAAGTCTGTTCCAAATGGCTCTTCCAAATTCATGTGGGCCAAAGCACAGGACCTTGGGGGATTTGCCTACATTGAAACTGTCAGAAACAACATGACATTCACGTTTGTAGATGGACGAGGGCAGTCAATATATCAGAAAGTTCTCTTTCCAAGAAAAGTATGACGAAGTGCATTGGTCATTTTCGACACCTTATACTGTTTCTGATATGAAATTGAACTATTTTTTACGGCATCGATACTTTAAGAAAGAGTCTGTTCTAGAATTTAATTGTAATATTTTTACATAAGTTTCGGATAAGAGTTATATTTCTGTGTAGCCGTGGAAGTGGTCATCATGAAAAAGACACCGTGAACTCACTAGCATTAGCCATGTCATAATTCTAGATATCAACACAAACATTGGCAACTGTAAACACTGGAGGCATAACATTAAAAAAGAAGGGATCTTTGAGGCCCACTGTTTTTTCTTTATTTATTCTTTAGAAAAATGATCATTTTCTTTCCTTAGTTATACGAAATTTGAGAATTCTTCTCGGAAAAAAAGCAATACTAATCTTCAACTGTTAAATACAAAATGGTCGCCTGTCAGTATTCTGCTGACAAGGGAACGAGGGAAATCTACAGATAAAATTTGATTAAGATCCGTCCAGTATTTCTCAAGAAATAAAGATGACAAACTAATAGAATCATTATCTTTATTTCATGTTATTTTCTAAAAAGTCCTCTCGTTATTCCGGTTTTACATCCTGTACAGTCTCTTTAAGCATAAATCATAGTACAAGCTATTTATCAAAAACTGTAAGTGCTTGTTTGTGATTATGTTCTATAGTATGGTTTAATCACTACAAAAATATGCCCTGTATAACTACATTTATAATGGTTATTTCAATACAGCTACAGGAGAATATCACTATTTAAACTTTATCACCAGCAGATGCCGGTAAATAGACAATAAACACAAGCAACTAACGCCACTGCCTCTACAAGTATATGGTCTAGTTAAACTTCTGTTAAAAAGCGACATTAATTGAAGATAAACTAAACTATATGTAACGATATTTGAACGATACACTGTTTAAAGAGATACTCTTATCTAACGTAAATAGCAGTTCTCTATATCTAGAAACCGTATACAGTACAATTTTCCCGTCAGACATACAGACAGACGGACATACAGACAGACTATGGCAATATCATTCTGGGAAAATATTGAATTCCGCAAATAAACACAGAAATATTCTAGCTTTCAACACAGTATGTAGCAATATTCTAGCTTCCGGCAATGTATGTAGCAATGTTCTAGCTTCCGAAACAGTATGTAGCAATATTCTAGCTTCCCACACAGTATGTAGCAATATTCTAGCTTCCCACACAGTATGTAGCAATATTCTAGCTTCCGGCACAGTATGTAGCAATATTCTTGCTGCGACACAGTATGTATCAATATTCTAGCTTCCGACACAGTTTGTATCAATATTCTAGCTGCCGACACAGTATGTAGCAATATTCTAGCTTCCGACACAGTATGTATCAATATTCTAGCTTCCGACACAGTATGTAGCAATATTCTAGCTTCCGACACAGTATGTATCAATATTCTAGCTTCCGACACAGTACGTAGCAATATTTTAGCTCCCGACACAGTATGTAGCAATATTCTAACTTCCGACACAGTATGTAGCAAGTTTCTCGCTTCCGACACAGTTTGTATCAATATTCTTTCTTCCGACACAGTATGCATCAATATTCTAGCTTCCGACACAGTATGTATCAATATTCTAGCTTCCGACACAGTTTGTATCAATATTCTAGCTTCCGACACAGTATGTATCAATATTCTAGCTTCCGACACAGTTGGTATCAATGTTCTAGCTTCCGACACATTTTGTTTCAATATTCTAGCTTCCGACACAGTATGTAGCAATATTCTAGCTTCGGACACTATGTAGCAATATTCTAGCTTCCGACACAGTTTGTATCAATATCAATATTCTAGCTTCCGACACACAATATTCTAGCTTCCGACACACAATATTCTAGCTTGTAGCAATATTCTAGCTTCCGACATAGTATGTAGCAAGATTCTAGCTTCCGACACAGTTTGTATCAATATTCTAGCTACCGACGACACAGTATGTAGCAATATTCTAGTTTCCGACACAGTTTGTATCAATATTCTAGCTACCGACACCGTATGTAGCAATATTCTAGCTTCCGAAACAGTATGTAGCAATATTCTAGCTTCCGACACAGTTTGTATCAATATTCTAGCTTCCGACACAGTATGTATCAATATTCTAGCTTCCGGCACAGTATGTAGCAATATTCTTGCTGCGACACAGTATGTATCAATATTCTAGCTTCCGACACAGTTTGTATCAATATTCTAGCTTCCGACACAGTATGTATCAATATTCTAGCTTCCGACACAGTATGTATCAATATTCTAGCTTCCGACACAGTATGTATCAATATTCTAGCTTCCGACACAGTACGTAGCAATATTCTAGCTTCCGACACAGTATGTAGCAATATTCTAGCTTCCGACACAGTATGTAGAAAGTTTCTCGCTTCCGACACAGTATTAGCAAGATTCTCGCTTCCGATACAGTTTGTATCAATATTCTAGCTTCCGTCACAGTTTGTATCAATATTCTAGCTTCCGACAAAGTATGTAGCAATATTCTAGCTTCCGACACAGTATGTAGCAATATTCTAGCTTCCGACACAGTATGTATCAATATTCTAGCTTCCGACACAGTATGTAGCAATATTCTAGCTTCCGACACAGTATGTATCAATATTCTAGCTTCCGACACAGTTTGTATCAATATTCTAGCTTCCGACAAAGTATGTAGCAATATTCTAGCTTCCGACACAGTATGTAGCAATATTCTAGCTTCCGACACAGTATGTAGCAATATTCTAGCTGCCGACACAGTATGTAGCAATATTCTAGCTTCCGACACAGTTTGTATCAATATTCTAGCTTCCGACACAGTACGTAGCAATATTCTAGCTTCCGACACAGTATGTAGCAATATTCTAGCTTCCGACACAGTTGTATCAATATTTTCCGACACTAGCTTCACAGTATGACACAGTATGTATCAATATTCTAGCTTCCGACACAGTATGTAGCAATAGCTTTCTAGCTTCCGACACAATATTATGTAGCTTCCGGCACAGTATGTAGCAATATTCTAGCTGCCGACACAGTTTGTATCAATATTCTAGCTTCCGACAAAGTATGTAGCAATATTCTAGCTTCCGACACAGTATGTAGCAATGTTCTAGCTTCAGACACGGTATGTAGCAATGTTCTAGCTACCGACACAGTATGTAGCAATATTCTAGCTTCCGACAGTACAGCTTCCGACACAGTTTGTATCAATATTCTAGCTTCCGACACAGCATGTAGCAATGTTTTAGTTTCCGACAAAGTATGTAGCAATATTCTAGCTTCCTACACACTATGTAGCAATATTCTAGCTTCTGACACAGTTTGTATCAATATTCTAGCTTCCGACACCGTATGTACAGCTTCCGTACACAGTCCGACACATGTAGCAATATTCTAGCTTCCGACACAGTATGTAGCAATATTCTAGCTTCCGACACAGTATGTATCAATATTCTTCCGACACAGTATGTATCAATATTCTAGCTTCCGACACATGTATCAATATTCTAGCTTCCGACACAGTATGTATCAATATTCTAGCTTCCGACACAGTATGTAGCAATATTCTAGCTTCCGACACAGTATGTACACAGCTTCCGACACAGTTTGCAATATTCTAGCTTCCGACACAGTTGTATCAATATTCTGACACAGTTGTATCAATATTCTAGCTTCCGACACAGTATGTATCAATATTCTAGCTGCCGACACAGTATGTATCAATATTCTAGCTTCCGACAATGTTCAATATTCTAGCTTTCCTTCCGACACATGTACACAGTCCGACACAGTATGTAGCAATATTCTAGCTTCCCACACAGTATGTAGCAATATTCTAGCTTCCCACACAGTATGTAGCAATATTCTAGCTTCCGGCACAGTATGTAGCAATATTCTAGCTTCCGACACAGTTTGTATCAATATTCTAGCTTCCGACACAGTACGTAGCAATATTCTAGCTTCCGACACAGTTTGTATCAATATTCTAGCTTCCGACACAGTATGTATCAATATTCTAGCTTCCGACACAGTTTGTATCAATATTCTAGCTTCCGACACAGTATGTATCAATATTCTAGCTTCCGACACAGTATGTATCAATATTCTAGCTTCCGACACAGTTTGTAGTAGCTTCCGACACAGTTGTATCAATATTCTAGCTTCCGACACAGTTAGTTTCAATATTCTAGCTTCCGACACAGTATGTAGCAATATTCTAGCTTCGGACACAGTATGTAGCAATATTCTAGCTTCCGACACAGTTTGTATCAATATTCTAGCTTCCGACACCGTATGTATCAATGTTCTAGCTTCCGAAACAGTATGTAGCTATATTCTAGTTTCCGACACAGTATGTATCAATATTCTAGCTACCGACAAAGTATGTAGCAATATTCTAGCTTCCGACACAGTTTGTATCAATATTCTAGCTGCCGACACAGTATGTATCAATATTCTAGCTTCCGACAAAGTATGTAGCAATATTCTAGCTTCCGACACAGTATGTATCAATATTCTAGCTTCCGACACAGTATGTATCAATATTCTAGCTTCCGACACAGTTTTTATCAATATTCTAGCTTCCGACACAGTCTAGCTTGCATCAATATTCTAGCTACTGACACAGTTTGTATCAATATTCTAGCTTCCGACAGTTTGTATCAAGATTCTAACTTCCGACACAGTGTGTATCAATATTCTAGCTTCCGACACAGTATGTATCAATATTCTAGCTTCCGAAACAGTATGTAGCAAGATTCTAGCTTCCGACACAGTTTGTATCAATATTCTAGCTTCCGACACAGTATGTAGCAATATTCTAGCTTCCGACACAGTATGTATCAATATTCTAGCTTCCGACACAGTATGTATCAATATTCTAGCTTCCGACACAGTATGTAGCAATATTCTAGCTTCCGACACAGTTTGTATCAATATTCTAGCTTCCGACACAGTACGTAGCAATATTCTAGCTTCCGACACAGTATGTATCAATACAGTCCGACATGTATCAATATTCTAGCTTAGCAATATTCTAGCTTCCGACACAGTATGTATCAA